TTTTTTTAAAGGAGAAACTTGAGCAGCAAGCGGAAAGAATTTCTCATTCATTTTTTGCACCATTCTCATTTTGAAAGAGAGAGACTGGTTAGTACTAATCTTTCAGTTTGGATTCTTACATGAACATGCTAAAACATATTTGCAGTTGCCTTTAATAGACTATTGGGCAAAAGCCCAAAGGGAAGTCATAACATTTTCTGGCAGCGTTTCTACTGTTGTCTCTTATAAGAGACAAAGTTTAACTCACTAATTTTTACATCCAAATTTAATCAAATATCCCATTTTTACATTACATGTAGAATTGAAGTATTAGGCAGCAATTAGTGCTCAGATTTCTTATGAACAATTCATGAAAATTAGTTTTAGAAAGCTGCACAGACTGATTAAGGTAGCTCTACACTGTTGCTAAGTTAATGAGAAATTACATTTAAAAAAGCAGAGGGGGAGAGAGAGAATTTTTGCATTCACACAGAATCTTGAAGACTGGTCTGTAATATTTCCCAATTCTAGAACACTTTTCACTCCAACCCGTATCAGGACTTTAGGATTTTTCTTCTTGTTTCTACCATCATATATATGAATTCATGTTGCAGTCTTTAACCCCGACGACTTTTCCCACATACAACTTTTTTATGGAAAACCACACACTAACCAGCCACAGGTAGCCAAAGATATTCCTCATCAGCTTGGAGGTATAACTAGGAACTATTAGGACCAAATAACTGGCATTTCAGTGAACCTCTAGCCAGACTAACAGGCATTTAATAGATGCACTTCCGAGCTGGCTCCTTTTTAAAGTTTTTCTAGCTAATGAGATACATAACAGCAACCAGCAATGTCCCTGGCCCTGCTTGGACATTCAATTGCAATATTCAAGCTACCAGAAAATTCTTCTGGATTAGGGGAAAGGATCATAGGAGCTCAGGAAGTCCTTTTTTCCTATTACAGTAGGGTCCAGTTTCCAACTAGGACTTACCTGAGCCCTTATGGGCCTGCTGCATGAGTTTTGGTTTTTTGGGGGGGGGGGGGGGT